AAGGGATTCCAAGGGGTGTGATTCTAGAATAGACGTGAAGGACGTCGCTGGGGCCGCAACCAGTGTGGCTCAGTGGATAGAGCGTCGGCCTGCGGACGGAAAGGTCCCGGGTTCGATTCCGGTCAAGGGCACGTGCCTTGGTTGCGGGCACATCCCCGGTGGGGAGGATGCAGGAGGCAGCCAGTCGGTGATTCTCTCTCTCATCGATGTTTCTAACTGCCTCTCCCTCTCCCTCCCTCTCTGTAAAAAAATCAATAAAATATATTTAAAAATATTACTTTTTATTAAAATGTTCTATGGTTTTCATGCTAACGATGACTCATTTATCTCAGCCCTTTTCAGTCAGCGTGTCTCTCTCGAAATAAAACTACGTTTCTATGAAAACTGAAGCTTTTGTGCTTTTTTTTTTTTTTTTGTGGCCCACATACATTTAAACCCTGTTTATCGGGCCCACGTGAGCCTGTGAGTTTGACATGCGTGCTGTCGTTGATTGTGTCAAGGCCATGAAGGGCAGACTATATGAGGAGCTAGCTCCATACACCACAGCCATGAAACCATGGTGGCCACATTTGCCAAAGCCGGTGTTGCTCAGTGGATAGAGCGTCGGCCTGCAGACGGAAGGGTCCCGGGTTTGGTTCCGGTCAAGGGCATGTACCTTGGTTGCAGGCACATCCCCAATAGGAGGTGTGCAGGAGGCAGCTGATCTGATTCTCTCTCATCGATGTTTCTAACTCTCTATCCCTCTCCCTTTCTCTCTGTAAAAATAAATAAAATATATTTTAAAATATCAATTTTTATTAAAATGTTCTATAATTCTGCAGAGACCAGATTAGCTCAGTGGATAGAGCGTCGGCCTGCGGACGGAAGGGTCCTGGGTTCGACTCCTGTCAAGGGCTCGTACCTCCGTTGCGGGCACATCCCCGGTAGGAGGTGTGCAGGAGGCAGCCGATGGATGATTCTCTCTCTCATCAGTGTTCCTAACTCTCTATCCCTCTCTCTTCCTCCCTGTAAAAAAAATAAAATAAAAAATCAATAAACTATATATATTTTTAAAAAATGTTAGTCACATTTGCCATGTTTCTTCCACCTGCTGCCTCTGAAAGGACCATCCTCAGCTTTCAACCATCCTGTCCATTTTGGGGGAAAAGGTATTCTTGGTTGCATCGCAGGCAGGCGTATTCGGGGAAGGGGGGGGTGGGGAGAGACGTTCAGAATCAGGCCTGGGTTTGTCTTTGGTGCGGAATTTACGATCGGTCTTCCCCAGACACCCCCTCCTTGGTGGTGGTCACCCTGGATGCCAAAACCGAAGAGGCGAGACCTACTGCCTTCCCCGGAGCAGGATCTGCGGGCATTCTGGTCTCTTCGGTGCCTGGAATGGCCTCATCTCTCCTCTTCTCTCTCTCTCTCTCTCTCTCTCTCTCTCTCTCTCTCTCTCTCTCTCTCTCTCTCTCTCTCTCCCTCTCTCTCCCTCTCTCTTTCTCTTTCTCTCTCTCTCCACAGGGAACAGCCCTGGGGCTGGAGGGAAGAAACGGGGACCCCTGAGCCAGGCCTGGGGCACGCAGGCTGCCCCCCAGCAGGCAGAGGTACGGGTGCACGTGCGTGTGTCAGGGGGAGGGAGGAAGGGAGGGTGTGCGGGTTGCAGCGTGGCCCCAATGCTGCTTAGTCAGGCTCCAGTGCCTCGCCGAGCCGCCGATGTGCCCAGACCTGCCACCACCACCACCACCACCGCCAGGTGTCTGTCTGTGTCTGTGTCTGCGCCGGGAGGTGACGGGGCGAACGGGACTCTGGTCTCCTGGTCTGTCCAGTCACCAGAGGAATGCAGGGACTCCGGGAGGCCGCCTCAGAGGACAGAGCAGCCGCTCCTTACCCGCCCTGTCCTGACCAAAGTCCTGCCCGGTTGGCTCTCACCTGCCTGACTGCCTTCCTGATGGCCCCTAACCACTCCCCTGCCTGCCAGCCTGATCACCCCCTAACCGCTCCCCTGCCAGCCTGATCGATGCCTAACTGCTCCCCTGCCAGCCTGATCACCCCCTAACCACTCCCCTGCCAGCCTGATCACCCCCTAAACTGCTCCCCTGCCAGCCTGATCATTCCTTAACTGTCCCCTGCCAGCCTGATCACCCCCTAAACTGCTCCCCTGCCAGCCTGATCATTCCTTAACCGCTCCCCTGCCAGCCTGATCACCCCCTAAACTGCTCCCCTGCCAGCCTGATCGCCCCCTAACCACTCCCCCGCCAGCCTGATCGCCCCCTAACCGCTCCCCTGCCAGCCTGATCGCCCCCTAACCGCTCCCCTGCCAGCCTGATCGCCCCCTAACCACTCCCCTGCCAGCCTGATTACCCCTAACTGCCCTCCCGCCAGCAGCCCCAGGGCTTGCTCCTGCAGGCCAGAGCTATCCACCTGCCCTGATTAATATGCTCTTCCCAGCGTTCCTGCTCAGACCTCTACAGCCAGAAGTTATCTTTTCTTTTTATTTTTTTTAAAGTATATTTTTATTGGTTTCAGAGTGGAAGGGAGAGAGGGAGAGAGAGAAACGTCCATGATGAGAGAGAAACATTGATCAGCTGCCTTCTGCACCCCCCTTACTGGGGATGTGCCCGCAACCAAGGTCCATGCCCTTGACCGGAATCGAACCTGGGACCCTCCAGTCCGCAGGCCGACGCTCTACCCACTGAGCCACACTGGTTTTTGGCGATATTGCTCTATAGAATAGAGGGTGTACACGAACAGCAGGCCAGCCAGATTCCACCTCAGAACATACTGCGTCAGACACACACACACACACACACACACACACACCGTATTTATCAAAGATCCGAATGAGTTGCCAGCTTTTTACATATCGGAATGTTTTTATCTGCTTCTTTGGAAAACTCTGGGAATCTGGCGAAACGGAGCCCAGATGAGCTGATGAGTAACAACTCCCCACTTCGGCTCTAAGCAGCAGCTCGCCGTTCGCACGCCTCCCCCCTCCCATCCACCCCCACCTCCCCGCCCAGCCCCTCCGCAGCTGCCTCGGTCCTCAGGGCGGGGAGGGGGCAGTCAGGGCACCCCGGCCCTGCCCAAGCCTTCACTAAGCAAGCCTGTCCTCTCAGACAAGCTATTTCAGTGGATAGAGCGTCGGCCTGCAGACCGAAAGGTCCCGGGTTCGATTCCGGTCAAGGGCATGGACCTTGGTTGCTTGCGCGGGCACATCCCTAGTAAGGGGTGTGCAGGAGGCAGCTGGTCAACGTTTCTAATTTTCTATCCCTCTCTCTTCTTCTCTACCAAAATAAATAAATAAATTAATTAATTAATTTAAAAAATAAAAATTAAAAAAATCAATACAATATATTTAAAAAACAAAACCAAAAATCTTTCTCCACCAGCTGAGATGGAGGGGATGATGGCAGAGGGAAGGAGAAGGGAGAGGCAGTGGGTTCGGGCTCTGAGAGGAAGAGGAGGAAAAGGAGAGAAAGGGTGCCTGTGGGAGGGGGTGGCTATCTGCGGGGGAGGGGTAGGACAGGGGGCGGCCTAGGTGAGGTCCCGCGCTGGGCCCTGCTGGCCTTTACCCAGGCAGGACACGTGCAGGACGTTGGGGCCAGGTGGCTGACCTGGATCTGCAGCATTTGTGCCCTCTCCCCCCACCCCCCACCCTTTTTTAAAAAATATATATTTTATTGATTTTTTACAGAGAGGAAGAGAGAGGGATAGAGTGCTAGAAACGTCGACCAGCTGCCTCCTGCACACCCCTCACTGGGGATGTGCCCACAACCAAGGTCCATGCCCTTGACCGGAATCGAACCCGGGACCCTTCAGTCCACAGGCTGATGCTCTATCCACTGACCCAAACCGGTTTCAGCAACACCGAGGGTATTTTTTTTTTTTTAAATCTTTATGAAAAGAGGGGGAAAGTTGAGAAGACACGAAATCAAAAAGTTACTGCGAGCTGTTCAGATATCTATCTATCTATCTATCTATCTATCTATATATATATATATATATATATATTTGATTTTCCACAGAGAGAAAGGGAGAGGGAGAGAGAGCCAGAAACATCAATGAGAGAGAAACATCGACCAGCTGCCTCCTGCACACACCCCCGCAACTGGGGATGTGCCCGCCACCAAGGTCCATGCCCTTGACCGGAATCGAACCCGGGACCTTTCAGTCCACAAACTGGTTTCGGCTGGAGAAGAAGGCTTTTTGGTTTCCCAGGGCAGGACCTGTTTCCCCAGCAGCCAGGTGGGTGGGTGGTACACACGGGGGAGGAGGCAGCAGGAACCCCAAGTCCAGCCTTCAGAGAACTAACTGCCTTTCAGGAGGTTCTGTCTGCACCCCCTCCCCTCCCCTCCCCCCCGGGTCCTGCTGGCAGCTGGGGCCCATCATCGCCAGCTCCCAGGTGTCAGGCCAGCGGCTGGCTCCTCGGGGCAGGCCCTGCTCGCCATGTGCTCCGCGGCGTTTGGCACCTTTCATCCCATCTCATCCCATCTCATCCCATCTCATCCCTGGACGAAAGTCTCATCCGTTTGCAGAGAGAGAGACCAAGCCCCTCGCCCTGGGAGCGCGGGGCAGCTGGGGGGTACAGCAGAGGGGGGCTTGGAGAGGGGGGAAAGGAAGGGAAAGGGGGGTGAGAAAGGGCTTGTTGGGGTTCCCGGGAGGGACCCCACCCCCTCCCCCGGAGGGCGCCCCGGGGAGTGGGGGGCGCGCGGCGGTGCCGGGGGCGCAGCGGGGAGGGCGCGGGGCCCAGGGGAGCGCGCAGGGGGGACCCCGGGGTGCCTCTCCCCGCCTCGGGGGGGGGGGCGCCCCGGGGGAGGCGGGCGGCGGCGGGCACGTCTGTGTGCGTCTCCCGGACAAGTGCCTTCAAGCCCGGCGGCGGCGGCGGCGGCGGCGGCGGCGGCGGCGAGGTCCCCGCGGGCCCGGGGGGCGGGCTCCCTCCCCGGGCGGCGTGGGGAGGGGAGGGAGGGAGGGGAGGGGCGGGGAGAGGAGGGGAGGGAGGGAGGGGAATGGCGGGGCGGGGAGCGGAGCGGAGCCGCCCACTCCGCCGCGGCGCCCGCCCCGACGGCCGGAGCTCGGGCGGCGGCGGCGCCCGCCGAGCCGGGGCGGACGCGGCCGGGACGCGCGCCGGGGAGCCGGGCTCCGGGGCTGCAGGATGGCGGAGGTGAGCGGGGCGCCCGCTGGGATTGGGGGTGGGGGGACCCGGGGCCGCAGGACGGCGCGGGGGGATGGGGGGCGCGGGCCGGAGACGCGCACGGGGCGCCCCGTCGCTCCGCGCCCCGTCCCGCCGCGCTCGGCCGGGGCCGCTGGTACCGGGGCTGGTTCCCGTGGAGAACGGGGACCCCGGAGAACAGGAAGAGCGGGGACACGGGAGAACGGAGAGAACGGGGACTCTGGGGAAGGGGGATCGTGGAGAACCGGGAGAATGGGGATCGTGGAGAACTGGGAGAACGGGGACCCCGGAGAGCGGGGGGAACGGGGACCCCAGAGAACGGGGAACCCGGAGCGCAGGGACCCTGGAGAGCGGGGATAACGGGGACCTTGGGGAAGGGGGATTGTGGAGAACCGGGAGAACGGGGACCCTGAGGAACGGGGAGAACGGGGACCCCGGAGAGCCGGGACCGTGGAGAGCGGGGACCCCGGAAAACGGGGACCCCGGAGCGCGGGGACCCTGGAGAGAGGGGATAACGGGGACTCTGGGGAAGGGGGACCCCGGAGGACGGGGACCCTGGAGAACGGGGACCCTGGAGAGCGGGGACCCCGGGGAACGGGGACCCCGGAGCGCGCGGGGCGCATCTCCAGCGGATACGCGCGCGCCAGGCGCCGAGACGCAGCTGGGGGCGCGGGGAGGGGGGCGCAGGGCAGATTCCGGGGCGCCTCTCCCCTCTCCTCGGGCCGGGGCACCTGCAGGGGGACTCTCGGGGGGACTGGGGGGGGGGGGAGCCTGGGGCGATGAGTCGGGTGCCCAAGGGTCCCCTCTCCCCGCTCCCGGCTCTGTGCGCCCAGAGGCTGGGATCTGCCATCCAGAGGTGACACCATCGCGGGAGGCGATCTGACACCCATCAGCGCGCACACATCGCTCGCAGCCAAACTTCCCCGGTGCGGCTGCAGGAACACGTTCTCCTCATTCGGGAGAAGTCCCTTTGGGGCTGCTGCTTGTGAATTGACAAGTGCAATGGAATGCCCGCCGACAGCCTTCATGGCGTGTGTTTGGGGGGGTGGGGGGGTGTCGAAGGCAGGGGGAGGGGGAGGAGAGGGGGATCAGACCCTCCTAAGGCTCAGGCCTGTCCCCGGGTTTATGGCCGGAGCTGGGAGCTGGGAGCGCATTGCCTCTGCAGGATGGGGCTTTGCAATCACTGCAATCAGGCCAGGCGCCTGGTGGCAGCCAGGCCTCTGCTGTTAACACTTAAGGGGTCCCCCACACACACACACATCCCTGGTGTCCCGGGAATCCCTGTCAGAGGGTGTGAGTGTGTGCAGGGGAAACCTGTGTTACTGCAGCTCTGGATCCGCCGAGCAGATCTACCGTGCTTCCCCGAAAATAAGACATCCTCCGAAAATAAGACCTACTTACAGGTTTCCTTCTGAGTGCAATAGAAGGCATCCCCCCGAAAATAAGGCCCCCCCTAGGCTAAACATGAGAGATTTGGTCCACTAATTCTGAGAGAAATGGAGTCACAAGAAACTCACCAGGAAATTCAGGAATTGGATTGTTAGGATGATGTTCCAGAAGATGATGACATGATTGTCGTTGAATCAATGAGTACATTCTTGATACTGTAGGATTTACAGTGTGTCTGGTTTGTGTCGACAACTACCGTACTACCGTACCGTATACAGGTAATACATTTCCTTTATTTTCATTTAACAATAAATGTGTGCACCGTATTCTTCTTCATGGAAAAATAAGACATCCCCTGAAGACAAGACCTAGCGCATCTTTGGGAGCAAAAATTAATATAAGACACTGTCTTATTTTCGGGGAAACAGGGTAGCAAAAATGTGGGGGGTGTGTGTGTGTTTTAATTGATTTCTTCTCATCCAAGCGACAGACATGCTGGCTTTGCCTTCAGTGAGTTGTAAAAGCAGTATGTAGGCATCTACATTCTGATCTCTTCTTCCTTGTGTATTGTGTTTGTTTTTAAAAAAAAAACAAAACACAAAAAACAAAAAACCTGCTGCCTCATTTTTAAAAATATATTTTATTGATTTTTTACAGAGAGGAAGGGAGAGGGATAGAGAGTTAGAAACATCGATGAGAGAGAATCATCGACCAGCTGCCTCTTGCACACCAACTACTCGGGATGTGCCCGCAACCATGGCCCATGCCCCTGACCGGGATCGAACCTGGGACCTTCCGGTCCGCAGGCCGACGCTCTATCCACTGAGCCACACCGGTTTCGGCCTTGTTTATTGTTTTTAAGTCGCCGTTGGATTTTGTGGGGTCTTGTCCGCCGCGATTTCTCGGACCCTTCGCTTGCAAAATTTTTTATTTTTATTTTTATTTTTATTTTTATTTTACATCTTTTCCACGTGGCCCAGGCCCAGGCCCAGGCCCAGATTCTGTACCCCAGAACCATCAGCGTGGAAAGAAGGGGGAGAGAAAAAGCCGTATGGGCTCTCCCTGTGGGATACATCGTAATGGTGCTTGAAGTCTGCTCTCTTTAATTATTGAATGCTCTGGCATGCATATCCGCGGGAGAACAGTTTTAAAGTTCCGTTTGGGGCGAGGATGACAATACCGGCTTTTCAGGGGTCCCTTCCCACATCTGTTGCTCCATGTTCGTAAAACATCATTAGCATTGGATAGGTCACCGAAACAGGTTTGGCTCAGTGGATAGAGCATCGGCCTGCGGACTGAAAGGTCCCGGGTTCGATTCCGGTCAAGGGCATGTACCTTGGTTGCGGGCACATCCCCAGGTGAGGGTGTGCAAGAGGCAGCTGTTTCATGTTTCTCTCTCATCGATGTTTCTAACTCTCTATCCCTTTCCCTTCCTCTCTGTAAAAATAAGCAATAAAACATGTTAAAAAATAATAATAATAATTGGATAGGTCGAAGTGACTTTTTTTTTTTTTTGGTACATCACCCAAAAGGGCATTTCTTGGGGTGTTATTCATTGCCCAGGATTTGATTTCTGCTTTAAATAAAAGGTGTAGCCGAAACCGGTTTGGCTCAGTGGATAGAGTGTCGGCCTGCGGACTGAAGGGTCCCAGGTTCGATTCCGGTCAAGGGCATGGACCTTGGTTGCGGGCACTTCCCTGGTGGGGGTGTGCAGGAGGCAGCTGGTCGATGTCTCTCTCTCATGGATGTTTCTAGCTCTCTATCTCTCTCCTCTCCCTTGCTCTCTGTAAAAAAAAAATCAATAAAATATATATTTTAAAATATAAATTAAAAAAAATAAATAATAGGTGTAAAAAGATGGCCATCCCTTTCGCTCTGTGGGTTTTCCTAAGTAACCTTGTCCTCTCGGGCAGAGAGCGAGGTGTGAGTCATTTGATTGCTCGGCCACAAAGTCTGCCAACTTGATTTTCAGAAAGAAAAAAATAATAATAATAATACCATTTCCACTCGGCGATCAGTCAAGCATGATCCTGGTACAGCTGAACGCCGGGAAGAGGTGGTGAAATCTTCACTTGGCACCACGGCTGTGGCCACTCCGGGAACTCGTAATGATGGCCAGACAGACACCTGTGTCCTTTCCTATTTTTTTTTATTTTTTTTTATTTTTTTATCACCTGTGTCCTTTCATTTGGAATTCCCCTGTCCCCAGAGCCGAGCATGGGACTCAGCAGCATGCTGCTCCTTCAGACAAGGAGAAATCGGTGCGTCTGACATGCGTGTTTGGCTGTGAGGGAAAAAAAAAAAATGATCCGGGAGTTTTTCCCTGGTCCGAATGCACAGTAGAAAGATGAGGCAGCCTGGGCTAAGGGCCTTGCAGGCGTGCGCTTTGCAGAGAGGGTTTTTAATTTTTATTTTCTTTTTATTTTTTTAAAATTAATTTCTTTATTGATGAAGGTATCACATATTGGTCCTCAACCCCGCCCCATTCCCATCCCCCACCCCCACCCCACGCATGCCCCCACCCCCCTGTTCTCCCTGACCTCTGGTTAGGCTCATATGTGTGCACACACGTCCTTTGGCGGATCTCTCCCTTTTATCCCCACCCTCCCTCTGAGATCCGACAGTCTGACCCACAGCTCCTTGTCTCTGGGTCTGTTCTTGTCCATCCGTCTGTGTTGTTCACCGTTTCCCCCAGATGCATGCGATCATGTCCTACTGGAAATACACTTATAAGAATCAAAAATGAGCCGAAACCGGTTTGGCTCAGTGGATAGAGCGTCGGTCTGCGGACTGAAAGGTCCCGGGTTCGATTCCGGTCAAGGGGGCATGGACCTTAGTTGCGGGCACATCCCCGGTAGGGGGATGTGCAAGAGGCAGCTGGTCGGTGTTTCTCTCTCATTGACGTTTCTAGCTCTCTATCCCTCTCTCCTCCTCTCTGTAAAAAAATCAATAAAATATATATTTTTTTAAAAAATCAAAACTGAGACAAGCAATCATCGTTATGCTGAGAGGCATAGGAATCCGTCTGCAGTTATTTTTATTTTTTATTTTACATCTTTCCCACGCGGCCCACAGGCCCAGATTCTGTACCTCAGAATCATCAGCGTGGGAAGCAGGGAATTCCAATCTGTGGGGCAGGAACAGCCTTATAGATTCTCCCTGTGGGGTACATCCTAATGGTGCTTTAAGCCCACTCTCTCTATTTATGGATGCTCCGGGATACGTATACACGGGAATCCAGTTTTAAAGTGCAGTCTGTCGGTCCGGGCTGCAGCCCCAGGCTTTTTGCAGCTTGAGGTACAGGCTTAAGAAGTTATGTTGACAGTGGCCATGACGGAGTTGCCCGGAAGGTTCCAGAAGGTAAATTACTTGCAGGAGGGAGCAGGCTTCACCCCCCGGGGGTGAGTTTTCACCTCCACAGATGTCAGCGAGAGTGAGTTCCTTTTCTCAAAAGCAGCCCCGTTGAAAGAGAATTCGACTTATTTCACTCAGCATGATGTTCTCCAATTCCATCCAGGTTGCTGCAAATGATGAGAATTCCTTCTTTTTAGGAAGGAGGGAGGGGGGCAAAACAAAAATCAATAAAATATATTTTTAAAAAA